CGGCAAAATTCTATTTCACATCTCCCTCCAATCACCCTCCAACGCAAACCCCTTCAAAAATTTCAATTTATCTTGACAACTTACCAATCCAAATCAAAAATCTATCTAGCACTATTGAAGACTTTCCTATTAAATTGTATTATTCTGGTAACAGATGGATCCAAACAATCAGACAAAATTGGCGATGGAATTTATTCCTCCAAAGGGTACACAATCTCAGGTCGTTTTCCTTCTCATACTCTTATCTTTAGATCTGAAGGATTGACCATACTTTTAGCCCTCAAACATTGCGCTACAAGCAACGACCACTATATTTGTCTAACGGACAGGCGTTCGATCCTTCTGTCTCGCAAAGAAGGCAACCGGAAATCTCCATGAATCTCCCTTCTTCTTCTTGACCTAATTGCCAAAACAAGTCAGGCAGTGATATCTCTCTCTTTTATTTGGGTTCCAGCTCATACAGGAATTAAAAAAAAAAAAACGAACACGCAGACCAGCTAGCAAAACAAGCACTAAATCAAAACTTCATAAGTCGTCTTTCATCCCTTCTAGACCTCTGCCAAGCCTTCCTTAATGAACTGCTGAATGGAAGGGTTGCAAATACTTCCTTTCCCTCTCTCCTTGATGGATCTCAAGATTACCGTCCACTAATCAGCTCCCGAAATCTCAGAACTAAAAATCTCTTCCAACAAATGTTGTCTTACACAATTGTACATTGATACAAAACCAAAACTGCCTTAGTGCGGATATATCGACACAAACGATCACTACCTCCTGGAATGTCCCTCTTTCCAGGACGCTCGGAAGGAACTTTACCAGTCTTTATCGCTTCTGAATCCAGCATATACCGATATCGTGAACTTGTCTTTCAATCTTCGGAAGTCCCGCAGTGGACTAATCGTTAAGACACGGTTCTCACCAGATCACCGAAGTCAAGGATCACTGGCTGCAATCAGTGTGCTGTGGGTTACCACTTGGATCAGTCTGTTTAGAGACCGAGGGTAACCTTGAGGGTCCTCGTTAAACTGTTCTACCATAAAGTGCTCGACATCGCATGCAAGTCGTCGGGCTACCACAGCAGGGGAGCCATCTCCGTTGCTGAGGATCAAAATTGTGATGGTACGTCTTCAGATCATCCTCAGGGATGCTCCCCAGACCATCGCTAATAGCCAATTGTGCAGCTCTAGGACGACGTAAATGAACTACAACTTAATCTACGGAGCAAAATCAAATCCCTCCACAAATTCTTCCAATCCATAAACCGCTTCTGACTTTTTGCTGCAACCTCCAGCCATCAATCAATCCTCAACCCTAAACTATATTATCGGAATTAGAGAGCTATAAGCTAAAGCATATAGCTCCTCACTCCCTTCTTAAATCAATCAATCAATCATTATTTGCTGAAAAATTCCATTATGAGAGAAAACTCTAAACCTGGGTATCCATAATCTTACAAATGTAAAGTGAATTACCATCGTAGTAATGGAAACAATATAGAAAGCGCTTTAAAAGGTTATTTCCACCCAGATCTAATTCATATATTATCTGCTTTGTGCAGAAAGAAAAATAGATGTGAATGATAAAATATCTTCTTGCTGACAGTAAATAAAATTCATATTTTGTGTGCATTTTTTTTAATATCTTTAAAAAAGGTAGTGTTTTCTGTACGATTTATATAATCAATACACTATTCATTAAGTGTGTGTCATCTCTTTCTGGCAAAAGGAAACATTATAAAGGCAAAATAATTCTACGTTGGCAGTAACATTCTATGTTGTTATACAAACAGCAAATACTATCTCTGCAATGTGTGTCACAGTTGCAGTGATGATCTGACGATAAAATATTTACACATATGGATCTTTAATGTTTGTGTGTTCATAAGTTTCCCAAGTGCAGTTCATAATTATACTTCTTTATTGTGAAACATTTTACTAAAAAGTGTGCAAAAAGAAGTAGTTTCATTTAATTTTTTTGAGTTCATAATATGAAAATAATTTATGCAGTACAATATTAAACAGTTGCAGATAATTAAGATGCCTGTCACTTTCATATTCATAGAACACATATGATTTGATGTTTATACGCAAGAAATTTAAATTGTGATTTTCCTGTTCATACTGAGAAAATATTTTCTTTTAAGGCAAAATAATAGAATTAAACTTTCTTGACCCTCTCATATTTCTTTAAAGTTTGTAAAAGTAAAAAACAAATTTTTTTTTTTTGATTTTCTTCATTTATAATGGACTATATTTCCGTAGTGTCTGTGTGAATAAATTACTATTGAAATTAAATTAGATAATTTCATTTTCAAAACAAATATCATTGTTTGTTCATGTTTATTTTTATAATTCGTCTTCCCAATAACAAGTAACATTAATTTTACACTGTCTTAAACTGCATTCATTCACAGTGTATTGAATCTTATGCATGAAGTTGTACATTATTTCTGCAGTTTTTTTGTGATAAAAAAAACAAAAAGTGAAATAATTTGGTTTGGTTTGTTCAATAATTATTATATTATTAAAGTTGTTTGTGAAAAATAGAAAATATTAACATATCAATATAATTTTAATTAATGTTTTCACATAGGCATCTATTAATAAACCATATGCCTGCTGTACGGTTTCTACACTATTATATTTTACTTCGTTAAAAATTCAGTCTATGTAAGTGACTTGATACAGAATGCTTTTTTTGTATCATGTTAGTAAGGGCCTAATTTTATTCAGTATAAGTATCATCCTAAGTAAACCTTATTGTTATTCTAAAAAGAATTTTTCAGGAAAAAGATCGTCTAAACACAAAATTCTTACTGATGAAAAATCTTATTCTTGTAGTTAAATGAAATAAAGGTTTTTTGCAAAAGGGTAGTCTGAAAAAACACAGTCGTGCTCATACTGGGGAAAACCTCCTTCTNTGTTTCTTACACTTTATCGCTTCTGAATCCAGCATATACCGATATCGTGAACTTGTCTTTCAATCTTCGGAAGTCCCGCAGTGGACTAATCGTTAAGACACGGTTCTCACCAGATCACCGAAGTCAAGGATCACTGGCTGCAGTCAGTGTGCGGTGAGTTACCACTTGGATCAGTCTGTTTAGAGACCGAGGGTAACCTTGAGGGTCCTCGTTAAACTGTTCTACCATAAAGTGCTCGACATCGCATGCAAGTCGTCGGGCTACCACAGCAGGGGAGCCATCTCCTCTGCTGAGGATCAAAATTGTGATGATACGTCTTCAGATCATCCTCAGGGATGCTCCCCAGACCATCGCTAATAGCCCATTGTGCAGCTCTAGGACGACGTAAATGAACTACAACATAATCCTCGGAACAAACTCAAATCCCTCCACAAATTCCTCCAATCCATTAACCGCTTCTGACTTTTTGCTGCAACCTCCAGCTATCAATCAATCCTCAACCCTAAACTATATTATCGAAATTAGAGAGCTATAAGCTAAAGCATATAGCTCCTCACTCCCTTCTTAAATCAATCAATCAATCATTATTTGTTGAAAAATTCCATGCCGAGAGAAAACTCTAAGCTTGAATTCATAAGCCTGGGTATCCATAATCTTACAAATGTTAAGTGAATTACCATCGTAGTAATGGAAACAATATAGAAAGCGCTTCAAAAGGTTATTTCCACCCAGATCTAATTCATATATTATCTGCTTTGTGCAGAAAGAAAAATAAGTGAATGATAAAATATCTTCTTGCTGACAGTAAATAAAATTCGTATTTTGTGTGCATTTTTTTTATATTTTTAAAAAAGGTAGTGTTTTCTGTACGATTTATATAATCAATACACTATTCATTAAGTGTGTGTCATCTCTTTCTGACAAAAGGAAACATTATAAAGGCAAAATAATTCTACGTTGGCAGTAGCATTCTATGTTGTTATACAAACAGCAAATACTATCTCTGCAATGTGTGTCACAGTTGCAGTGATGATCTGACGATAAAATATTTACACATATGGATCTTTAATGTTTGTGTGTTCATAAGGTTCCCAAGTGCAGCTCATAATTATACTTCTTTATTGTGAAACATTTTACTTCGGTTCTAAAAAGTGTGCAAAAAGAAGTAGTTTCATTTAATTGTTTTGAGTTCATAATATGAAAATAATTTATGCAGTACAATATTAAACAGTTGCAGATAATTAAGATGCCTGTCACTTTCATAGAACACATATGATTTGATGCTTATACACAAGAAATTTAAATTGTGATTTTCCTGTTCACACTGAGAAAATATTTTCTGTTCTTCATTTATAATGAACTATATTTCCGTAGTGTCTGTGTGAATAAATTACTATTGAAATTAAATTAGATAATTTCATTTTCAAAACAAATATCATTGTTTGTTCATGTTTATTTTTATAATTCGTCTTCCCAATAACAAGTAACATTAATTTTACACTGTCTTAAACTGCATTCATTCATAGTGTATTGAATCTAATACACGAAGTTTTACATAATTTCTGCGGTGTTTTTCTGATAAAAAAACGTAAAGTGAAATAATCTAGTTCGGTATGTTTCACAATTATTATATTATGAAAGTTTTTTGTGAAAAATGGAAAATATTTACATCTCAATATAATTTAAATTATTTTTTTCACATATGCATTTATTAATAAATTATATGCCTGCTGTACGGTTTCTACACTATTATATATTACTTAGTTAAAAATTTGGTCTAAGTAAGTGACTTGATACAGACTGTTCTTTTTTGTATCATGTTATGAAGGGCCTAATTTTATTCAGAATAAGTATCATCCTGTAAGTAAACCTTATTGTTATTCTAACAAGAGTTTTTTAGGAAAAAGACCGTCTAAACACTAAAATTCTTACTGGTGAAAAATCTTATTCTTGTAGTTATATAAAATAAGAGTTTTTCACAAGAAAGTAATCTGACAAAACATAGTTGTGTTCATACTGGTGAGAAGCCATTTTCTTGTAGTATATGTTATAAGAGTTTTTCTCAAAGTGAGCTTCTGAATAAAGGCAGTCTTGTTTATACTGGGGAGAAGCCGTATTCTTGTAGTATATGTAGTTTCAGAAAAAAGTAATATGACTAAACACAGTCGTGCTCATACTGGTGAAAAACTTTATTCTTGTAGTATATGTAATAAAAGTTTTTCACTAAAAGGTAATCTGACAAAACATAGTCGTGTTCATACTGGTGAAAAACTTTATTCTTGTAGTATATGTAATAAGAGTTTTTCAAGAAGAAGTGCACTGACTATACACAGACTTGTTCATACTGGTGAAAAACCTTATTCTTGTAGTATATGCAATAAGAGTTTTTCAGAAAAGAGTAATATGACTAATCACAGTCGTGTTCATACTGGTGAAAAACCTTATTCTTGTAGTATATGTAATAGGAGTTTTTCAAGAAGAAGTACACTGACTATACACTGTCGTGTTCATACTGGAGAAAAACCTTATTCTTGTAGTACATGTAATAAGAGTTTTTCAACAAGAAATACACTTATTAGACACAGTCTTGTTCATACTGGTGAAAAATCTTATTCTTGCAGAATATGTAATAAGAGTTTTTCAACAAGAGGTACGCTAACTATACACAGTCTTGTTCATAGTGGTGAAAAACCTTATTCTTGTAGTATATGTAATAAGAGTTTTTCAGAAAGAAGTATTCTGAATAAACACAGTCTTGTTCATACTGGTGAAAAACCTTATTCTTGTAGTATATGTAATAAGAGTTTTTCAAAAAGTATAAGACTGACTAAACACAGTCTTGTTCATACTGGTGAAAAGCCTTATTCTTGTACTATATGTAATAAAAGTTTTTCACTAAAAGGTACTCTGAAAAAACACAGTCGTGTTCATACTGGTGAGAAGCCTTATTCTTGTAGTACATGTTATAAGAGTTTTTCTCGAAGTGACCATCTGAATAAACACAGTCTTATTCATACTGGTGACAAGCCTTATTCTTGTAGTACATGTTATAAGAGTTTTTCTCGAAGTGAGCATCTGAATAAACACATTCTTATTCATACTGGTGACATGTCTTATTCTTGTAGTATATGTAACAAACAATTTTTACTAAAAAGTCATCTCGCTACTCACAGTCGTGTTCATACTGGTGAGAAGCCTTATTCTTGTAGTATATGTAATAAGAGTTTTTCTCAAGGTCAGAATCTAAATCAACACATTCTTGTTCATACTGGTGAGAAGCCTTATTCTTGTAGTATATGTAATAAAAAATTTTCACGAAAAAGTCATCTCACTATACACAGTCNAAGGTCAGAATCTAAATCAACACATTCTTGTTCATACTGGTGAGAAGCCTTATTCTTGTAGTATATGTAATAAAAAATTTTCACGAAAAAGTCATCTCACTACTCACAGCCGTGTTCATACTGGTGAGAAACCTTATTCTTGTAGTATCTGCAATAAAAGTTTTTCTCAAAGTGAGCATCTGAATAAACACAGTAGTATTCATACTGGTGAGAAGCCTTATTCTTGTTGTATATGTAATAAAAGTTTTTCACTGAAAAGTTATCTGAATAAACACAGTCGTATTCATGCTGGTGAGAAGCCTTATTCTTTTAATACAGTCAACCCCACTTAAAGGAATACCATTGGTTCCAGCCAACTCTATTTCATTAAACAGGTTATTCGATTAAGAGGGTAGTGCATTATTTAATCTTAAATCTTTAACTAAATTTTACTTCTAAATGGTATTTAATATATAGTATAAGGTTTTGATTGAATAATTATAATTAAAACTATCAATATTCGTATTATTAAATACAAATCTCATTTAAAGTAATAATAAAATATATTAATGCTAATGGAAAATATTATATACGTAACATAATATTATCTAATTTTATTTTAAAAAAATCTGTAATGGAAGACTGTTTTGATACACGCTTAATTGAACATTTTCCTGCTTTTTTTCTCAAGTTGTACAGTACATTATAATCCACTCCATTACATTCGAAATGCCGTGCTCATTATTGAACCAACTCGGGAGTTATTCACTGAAGTAAGCTATGATTATTCTACTTTAAAGGGAACCTTGTATAGTGTGAAAGCAGGTTTTTTTTAAACTACATCTTATTAAAACAAATAATGCAAAGGAACTAGAAGTTTTTACCATAAAATAAATAAATCACTCTATACCTTCCGGCTGTGCAAGTGAATAGTGTCAAAACCCTCTCCGTTTACTCTGATGTACAACTGCTGGTAACATTTGATTAATGCTTAAACTATTAACACCTGTTTAGAGCAGCAAATGAATAGGAAGTGCCATTGAAGTGATTACCAAATGTATCTTCTTAACAGAAAAACGGAAATTCCATTCTAGCTGGTGAAATCTTTCTTAAAAATATATGTATTAAAAAATGTTCATTACAGTTCCTCTTCTTTATGCAATTAAGTGAAAGCTAGAAACAACAAATAAACATTTAAGTGGGGAAATGTAACATTAGTTTCATATAAAATGATTTGGTTCCATTAAATTTTATTCGCATAAGCGGATTATGTGATTAAGTGGGGACGACGGTATATGTCATTAGAATTTTTCGCTAAAATGTCTGATAAAGCACAGCCGTGTTCATATTGGTGAGAAGCCATATTCTTGTAGTATATGTGAGTTTTTCAGAAAGAGTGTTTCAGAGTAAACATTGCCATGTTCATATTGGGGAGAAACCTTATTCTTGTTGTATATTTAATAAAAGTTTTTCACTAAAAGGTATTTTGAGAAAACTGTTGTGTCCATACTGGTGAAAAGCCTTATTTTTGTAGTATATGTTATAAGAGTTTTTCTCAAAGTCATCATCTGAATAAACACAGTCTTGTTCATGCTGGTGAGAATCCTTATTCTTGTAGTATATGTGATAAGAGTTTTTCTCAAAGTGAGCATCTGACTATCTCGTTCATACTGGTGAGATGCCTTATTCTTGTAGTATATGTAATAAAAAATTTTCACGAAAAAGTTCTCTCACTATACACAGTTGTGTTCATACTGGTGGGTTTTAGTATAATGGAATGAGAGTTTTTCTCTGAAATGTGATCTGACTAAATACAGTATTGTTGATACTAGTGACACACAATATTTTTGAAGTATATGTGATAAAATAGTTTTTTAAATAACAGGGATCTAAATGTTTGCATTCATGTTCATATTGGTTTTAATTTACCTTGATTACTAGATTATATTACTTTATTTGCAACCAGTTATGTTCGACTAAAATATAAATTGTTATTTATTTTCTTAGCATTAGAATCCTGAGTTCAAGTTAATATATTTTTTTTAATGAAAAAAAAGACTTCTAGCAACTTTTAATTTAAATTATTTGTAACATCTTTTATTTAATAAATCTTTTCTAATACATGTTGTGCAATTATTTTTAATAAAGTAGCTCTTGTAATTGTATTACTGAATGTTTATTTTTATTTTAAAAAAAAGAAAGGTGGTGAAAAACCCAAATTATTATCTAAAATTACTTTTGCTATTAATGAAAATTTCACTAATTGAGAAAAAATTTAAGCCATTTTAAAGGGTTGTTCGTGATGTATTGTCATTTTTCCGAAGAGGATTTCATTGTATTTTTTTCGAACCCAACTTCACGCTTAAGCCACAATGTCATTACATGTTTTGAGAGCTGATATGGCAAGGTTTGTGTGTGAAAAAGTTCAATTAATTCTACACAGTAGTTTTTGGTTTGTGCCCTTATAAGCAGCATTTTCGTCATATTTTACTTTTTTACTATAGAAATATACAAAAATGCTGTTCATGCCAGAAAGAAATTAACCAATATTTAATAAAGCCTACCTTAAAAGAAGCATCAGTAATTTTTGAAGTTGAAATATTGAAATTGTCAATTATTTAAAATATGTTACATTTCATTTTTAAGACTATGCATTAACCAATATGAAACTAATAATAAATTAAAGGTTCTTTTTTTTTATTTAATTTTTAAATTTTTTTTATTTATTTCTCTTTTACTATCATCATTAAATTTATTTATGAATATTTGTAAACNTTTTCAAAAGCTGACTTTACTGTTTGTGTTTTCACTGGTAAGAAACCTTTTTGTTGTAGTATAATGGAATGAGAGTTTTTTCTCAGAAATGTCATCTGACTAAATACAATATTGTTGATACTAGTGACACACAATATTTTTGAAGTATGTGATAAAATAGTTTTTTAAATAATAGGGATCTAAATGTTTGCATTCATGTTCATATTGGTTTTAATTTACCTTGATTACTGGATTATATTACTTTTTTTACTATCAGTTATGTTTCGCTAAAATATAAATTGTTATTTATTTTCTTAGCATTAGAATCCTGAGTTCAAGTTAATATGATTTTTTAAATGAAAAAAAAAAGACTTCTAGTCACTTTTAGTTAGAATTATTTGTAACATCTTTTATTTAATAAATCTTTTCTAACGCTTGTTGTAGAGTTATTTTTATAAAAGTAGCTCTTGTAATTGTATTACTGAATGCTTATTTTTCTTTGAAAAGAAAAAAATACTAGTGGTTAAAAACCCAAATTAATATTTAAAATTACTTTTGGTATTAATATTTGTAATGAAAATTTAACTAATTGAGAAAAAAGTTACTTTATCAGGTTGTTCGGAAAGAAATTTTGTTTTTCAGACAGATGATTTAATTGTATTTTTTTTCGAACACATCTTCAAACTTAAGCCGCATTATCATTATATGTTTTGAGAGTGCATATAGCAAGGCTTGTGTGTGAAAAGGTTCAATTTATTCTACACAGTAGTATTTGGTTTAAGCCCTTTTAAATATGGAGAGCAATAAGCAGCATTTTTGTCATATTTTACTATAGAAAAGGTAAAAATGCTATTCATGCTAGAAAGAAATTAACCAATGTGTATGGAGAAAATGTGTTGTACTGTACACCAGTGCCATAACCAGTGCTGGAATACTCATTAGGCCAGACTAGACTAGACATGGCCTGGGGCCCCCTTGAAATGGATTTTTTGAAAATAAATTTTAGGAAATTAAGGAAAACAGTGATTTTTTTCAAAAAAAATCAATTTCAAATACATATATGTTATGATTATTTATTAGTTCTAATTTAACAAAAGAAAGTAAAATTTAATCTATTATTTATTTTAATTTTAATTATGCTTTCTTAAATGAAAAGATATATAAATACTTTTATATTTGAATGAATAAAAAATATATGAGAAAAAAAATTTATTCTAAGGGCCCCAAAAATCTGAATGGCCTAGGGCCCCGCGTTCGCTTGATCCGGCACTGGCCAGAACTGGTTTGCAAAATTTCGATCCGGCACTTTTGATGTCGAAGATGTACCACGTTCTGGAAGATCGGTTGAAGCTGATAAAGACATTGGTTGATGCAAATCGGCGAATAACAACACGTGAGATTGGCGAGAGGTTATATTTATCGAATACAACTGTTTATGACCACTTGAAAGGCCTGGGTTGAAGCTCGATATATGGGTTCTCAAGGAGAGAAATTGGTGTCATCGCGTTGACTACTGTGATTCGCTTACCAAACGTCACGAAAATGATCCATTTTTGTAGCGCATCATTACTGGGGATGAGAAATGGGTTGTCTATAACAATGTCAAACACCAGAAATCATGGAGCAAAAAAGATGAACCGGTTCAAAGCATTTTGAAAGCCAATATCATTTTTAAAAAAAAGGTGATGCTGTCAATTCGTTTTTTTTTTTTTTTTAACTTTTACCAGATAACACGACAGTTAATTCGGAAGTCTATTGTCGTCAGCTGGACAAACTGAATTTGAATCAACAGAAAAGGTATAGTGTTCCACCAAGTTAATGCAAGACCTCGTACAAGTTTGGTCGCTCACCAAAAGCTTTTACAGCTTGAATGGGATACACTGCCACATCCACCATTTTCTCCAGATATGGGGCCCGCGGATTGTTATTTGTTCCGGTCACTGCAAAATTTTTTGGACTGTAAAACCTTTACTTCAAATGAAGAGGTCAAAAATCACCTGGATCAGTTTTTTGCCAGGCAAGATCAAAAATTTTGTGAGCGTGGAATCATGCTATTACCAGAAAGATGGCAAAAGGTGTCGAATCAGTATGGGCCATTTATAATTTAATAAAATGTTTATTCATTATACTAAAATTGTTTTTCATTTTCCCAAAATAAAACGAAATTTCTTTCCGAACAACCCAAATAAGAGTTTTCAATTTTTGCAGATTAGCAAGTAGTTATTAAATATGATTTTTAAGTCAATTTGTTTGG